CGGCGCTGGGCTGGGCGGGGCCGGCAGCCGGGCCGCGGCCCGGCCAGCAGGGCGCAGCAGGGAGGCCCCAGCCGGCCCGTTAGCCCGGGCACCCGGCCCGACCGCCGGTCGGACGCCGGTCACCAGGCGGCCTCTAGAGCATCGGCCCGAGGAAAGTGTGCGGGATTGCCTGAGGAGGTAAGACTGTCCCTTTGGGATCAGGCCGGAGGAGAGGTGCCTCGAGCCACCACCAACTCCCACCCCGCCTCTAGGCTGGGGGAAGGTTGAGTCTTCTGACTAGTCCCCTCCCCCAGCCCCTGGGGTTCCCACACTTCTGGGTCCCAGGTCGCCTCACACAGGGCTGCAGAGCCCGTTGAGACCTCCTGATTCCCCAGGTGCGTGGCCCAAGGCCACGGTGAGGGGCAAGAGAGTGTGGGAGTAGAGGCGCTGAGTCCTTGATCGCCGCTCTCCAAAGTCCGCGCTGGGCGCAGGCGGGTCCCACCCAAGCTCCTTGTCTTACCTGGACCGCGTGGCGGCTGCGTACCTCCCAGGCTGGACTCTCGCGGCCCTTCTCCGGCGTCAGATCCCGGGTCGGAGAGCGTGAGACCTCCGGGCCAGCGCTGCCCTCGCAGCCAGGCCGGCGGGAGGCGGGTGCGCCGGGAGTGAGGCTCGCAGTTTGGGGTGGGGGCGGCGGCATTTCAGTCGTCTGAGGTTCGGGTGCAATAAAGGCACCGCTAATGTAATTTACAAACAGCTCGGGCCGAGCGCGGCGCAGCGCCGGGACTGACAGGCGCATTAGGCAGGCTAATTCCAGCCGGCTCCTCCTACCCCTGGCCCGCTAATTAATGAGCTTCCCAACTTAGAGCCGCCTGCATTGGACAGACAGAGAGTGAAAGAGAGGGCGAGGGAGAGGGAGAGAAGGAGAGAGACGGGGGGAGCAGAGAGGAGAGAGGGAGGGAGGGAGAGAGAGAGAACAGGAGGAGAGAGGACAGAGAGAAAGAAGAGAGGAGAAAGACAGGGAGAAAGGAGAAAGAGACAGACAGAAGTGCCGCTGCAGATAATTGATTACTCCTCGATCAAGGCTAACTTGTTAGCAATAGTCAATTGCCCCATCTCTCCGCCTCCCCTCGCAGTACAGAATCGGTGCACTCGCCTCGGCTCTTCCAACTGCCGCCTCCAGGACCCGGGGCCAGGAGCCGCCGCGGAGCCACCTGACACCTTTAAATAGCACCC